CCGCAGCCGGGACCGCGGGCTGGCGCGCACGCGCAGAGCTCGCCGCGGGGGGCGGGGGCCGGGGGCCAGTCTACACACGGGCGGGCCACGAGCGCGGAGACGGCCGCCCGGGGATACACAGCTGATGGCGCTGCACAAACACACCCCAGAAAGGACCGGCCTCCCAAATCGTCGCACGCCCAGGAACACAGCCACACACCTAGTCACAGCGACACTTAAGCTTCAGCACTGTACATAAGTCCGCACAGCTGCTGCACAACTCCCCATAGCCCCATAGCGCTCCAGGCAGCCACACTGGCTGTACTGCCCCGCAAGGCCACCCGCACCCAGCACGCGTGGGAACCACCACATACGCAGCTCACTCAGCGACACACACACACACCCATGCACACAGCTCAAATAGTGACTGTCAGAACTAAACACACAGGCCACAGCACACACAGGCGCACAGAAACGCGCTTACGCAGGGCTTTGCCATAGCTCCCAACAGCTCTGGAAAGCGCCCGCGCAGCTACTCGCGGGTCACCTGGGGCGCACCATCGCAGCCTCCCGAGGGCTCTGCACGCACACTTGGGGTCTCACTGCGCCACAACCGATCCAGCTCCACACAGCCACATGTCCTCCGGACACGCACAGCCAAACACCCACCCGCAGCCACACAAGCCACACAAAAATAAGCTCCTGGGGATCCCCAGGCCACACCCTGGGAGCCACCCTGCACCACCCCACAGTGATACTCCAGTGTCAGTAGTAGGTGCTGGACCACTGTTTGGTGGCTCTGCTTCTCAGCCTCGGTGTTGGCATCTGTAAATGGAGCGCGTGCTACTTTTAATTGCCCCTCTGCAGGAGTCACGGGGCAAGCAGTGGGTGTCCCATTCCCCTCCTGGGCCCTTCTCCTACCCACAAGGGGTGTGCAAAGGAGGTGGGGGCTGACACTGGGGGCGGTGCCTGGAAGGAGTGGAGGCCTGGGCGCCAGGGTTCCTGTGGGCCGTGTGCACGTGGACGTGCGTGGGTACGGCGGGGGAGGCGGTCAGGTTGTGACTCGGGGTCTGGATGTTTCTGCGTGTTTGCCACGGGTATGGGGGGGTGCGTGAGTGCACGTGTGCATCGTCGTGGAGGGGATGACAGGCACCTGAGGAATGGTCGCTGCCCGGGCGGCTGTTGCCGCAGGTGTGCGGAGCTGAGCTGCCCAGAGGCAGGGTGGGCGCAGTGTGCGCGCGCGAGGAAGGTCGCAGCTCCCTGGGGCCTGGGCCGTGCAGCTGTGCACTCACGTTTCCTGCGCCGTGTGTGCGTGTGAGTGACAGAGAGTGTGAATGAGTCCCGTTCCTGCTGACCCCCCATTCTGCCTCCCCGACGGAGGCCGGTCCCCCGTACAAGACAGCACCATCCCCCACTCCAGGCCATCCGGCGGGCGAGAAGTCGGGAGCCGCCGGGGTTCCAGACACCACCAGGAAGGGTAAGGCAGGGCCAGCCCCAGTCCCGCCTTCTCCTCGAGGGGCCCCAGCGGCGGGGAAGTAGGGCGCCAGCCCTTCCCACTTCCTGTCCAGCCGGCCACCCCCTCCCCCGCTTCCTCTCCCGCGGGCCTCCAGGCCCAGGGCCGGCGTGGAGGAGGGGTCGGGCCTGAGCGCCGAAGGGGGCGCGGCCTGCACGACTTCACCGGGCCTGGGGCCAGCGACCGCCCGGTCCCACACCACGGGTGAGCGTGGGCGCCAAGGACGCCCTCATCACCCCTCCCGTCACTAATCTCAAGCGCCCACTCCCAACAGGGCACCGAGAGGGTGTGGCTCGCCCAAGTCACACAGGACGTTGGTGACAGCTGGGGCTCCCGGCCCGGTAGACGCTCCTCCTGCCACCTTATCCACAAAAGCTCTGTGGCTCCCCAGAATCCTGTGTGTCCTAGGCGGGTCCCTTGCCCTCTCCGAGCCGCGATTCCTTGAATGCATGTGAGTCTTCATCCATCCCATAAACATTTATTGACCGCCTGCTGTGTGCCGGTCTCTGGGGACCCAGCCGGGACACGTTGCTACCTCCCGTGGGGCAGAGGGTCTGTGGGGTAGGCGGACAGTCAAAAGCTGGCGACTCAGTCGGATAATTTCAGGGAGTGCCACGTGCTGGGCAGGAGGAGGGGGCCCGGTGGAGAGGGCGGGCCCGGGCTCCCGGAGGCGGGCGGAGGCGCCGGCAGCCCCGCGGGCTGCTATGGGGGTGGCGCGGCGGGCGGGGGCGATGAGCGCGGTTCTCATGGCAACCGGGCAGGCTCTCCAAACACCGCCCGGGAGCCGGCAGAGAAGTCTGGTGAGAGCCGGCTCTGGGCCCCCGGCAGCGCCAGGGGCGCGCAGACGCGCGCACGCCCAGACAAGGCGCGCGCCGTTGGAGGGCAGAAACTACAGAAAGGGGACCCCACCACGAAAGAGGGGCCACGGGGGGCGGGACTTTTTTTAACAAGGGGGAAGGGTGGGTCTGAAAGGTCTACAAGCAAAATGCTCAGACTGCAGTCACAGCAAGTGCAAAAGCTCTGAGGTGCGCACGCGGTTGAAGTGTAGGCACAGCGAGGAGGTAGATGTGGCCGGAGCAGGGGGAAGGAGCGGGAGATGATGGCGTGGGGGAGGGCAGCCCACGCCGGGCGGAAGAGGCACTGGGATTTGTTCTAGGAGCAGTAGGGAGCCATGGCAGGGTCTGGAGCCGCGAGAAGCAGGATGATTTTAAGAAGTTCTATGGGGCTGCCGTGGGAAGCCGATAAGATCGAGGTGGCATGGAGGAGGCAGGAAGGTTGCCCCGGGACTCAGGTAGACAGGGGTCCTAGGCAGGGCAGGCCTGAGAATTAGTGCGGGAGGGGTTCTGCGGTAAGGAAGGAGAGCTACGAATCAAGGCCGAATGCACCTCAGAGACCCCTTCCCCGGCTCCCAGCAGCCCCCATGTGGCTGCGCCTGGACTGCAGCCTAGGCTGGGTCTCTGCCCACCGCCGACGTCCCCCGAACATCACCCCCGCGGGGTTGGGGGTGTGGGGAGCCTGAACGGATCTGCTTATGGGGCAGGAGGCCGCGGCCGTCCCTCCCTTCACTCCCCTCCCTTCAGATCCACCTCTCAGTCCCACCTCCCGTCTTGGCACTGTTCCCTCCTCCCCCGAGAACAACAGCTCCTCCTACTCCTCCCCCTCTTCCTCCTGCTCCAGGCCTCCTCCGGCCACCTCCTCCAGATTACTGCTTCCGCACTGGCCTTGGCTGGACTTGTCACTGTTGTGATCGAGTAACGCATGGAGTCATCAGTTGGCCGCCTCCGCCTCCCTCTAGACGCGCCCTCCCTGAGGACCCAGCGGCGGGGCCCGTGCTTAATCGCTGAGAGCCCCGGGGAAAAGGCCAGGCTGGGTTTCCCTGACGATGGTTTTTCTGCTCTCCAGGAGATGGAAGCGACCCCCCACCTCCTTCCTTCTCATTAAAGTGGGGGGCTTTGGGAGGGGCCAGGAGCCGGACGGGCGGTCCCTGCAGCCCTCCGCAGCCGTGTGTGGGAGGCGGGCCCGAGCTGGGAGCGGGGTCTGCGCTAGGAGACCGTTTCCTCTCAGAAAAGCTGTAATTATGGGTAGTTTTCTAAATGCAACACAAAAATTAAAACCCAAACAACGCCGCGAGTGGAACAGCCACAGTAGTTGGTGAACAAGGAGTGGGCCGGGGCTCAGGGTGGAGGTTGAGTATGGGCTTGGTGGGAGCAGCCAGGCCCAGAGTCCCGGTGCATGAAAGGGCACGGGCCGAGGGTCGTTCAAACAGCCTGATTCCTTGGAGAGCTGTCCCTCAACCTCTTGGAGTCTAGGGTTTCCGAAATGGGGCTCATACCCCAAGACCGGATGCCTGGAGGCAGAAGTCCCTGGAGAGAGGATCTGGGCCTGGGTTTGAACATTGGCTGTGCCGCGTCCCGCTGTGTGGCCTTGATCTGGAGCTGACTGAACTTCAGCGACCTCTCTGGGTCACTGGGTCAAGCCTCCAAGTCCGCAAGGCTGGGAGAGACTCCAGAAGAGAGAAGGGACAAGGAAGGCTTGGCCTGGAGCCTCAGCCAAACCCGCAGTCCCCCACCCCCACGTCCATCCTCCCTAAAGCTTAAAGCAAGCTGGAGGGTTCTGATCCCACATACAGACCGGCCGCTCACTGGTTGAGCGAGGTGCGGACGCAACACCGAGGGTTGCGATCCCGTTGCCGGTCCCGGTCCGGTACGGGGGCGACACTGAGGGTTGCGATCCGTTGCCGGTCGCGAAAAAAAAAAGACAAAAAAAGGGAAAAAAAAAAAAAAAAGCAAGCTGGGTACGCTCTTCTGCTTCCAGCACCTTCTGTGACTCCCTCTACCCACAAATCAAGTCCCCGCCCCTCTGCCCTTCACTTGAACTCCATAGTCAAACCAATCATCATGAGAAACTCGTGCACCTAGCTCTGTATATCCTCATAAAGTCTTCGCAGCCGCCCATGAGGGAACCATTTCTTCTCCCCATGTTACAGATGGGGAAACTGAGGCTCAGGTACTGACACAGTCATATGAGCAACCCAGAGGCAGCACCCTACCCACTGCAGTGCCTCTAGCACCCTATGGATCTGGGATACTCTGGGATACTGGAGGCATTTGTGAAAACCCCAGTCCTGCGGGGAGGAGCAGGGATCTTTAGTAGCTCCCGGGCCTCCCCATGTGGCTGGACTCCACACTGCCGGCCACTGCTTCTTTTCACCTGTAGCTTGCTCCAGCCGAGGAATGCCCTTTTGGGTGTTTCAGTCTCCCTAAGGTCCCCAGCAAGATTGGGCCCCGTCGCCCACCCCCTTGCCTGCTTGTTGGCGCCCCCTGCATGGCTCCTCTCCCAATTCCCACTGGGGCTTCCAGGAGTAACCTCCTGGATACCCATCTGTCCCACAATACTCATCTTGGGATCTGTTTTCTAGGAAACCTAACTGAGGTTAGGGCGGTTATACACCCCAGCCCCTTGGTCCCTGAGTAGGACCACTCTGATGTGAGAATCTACACTGTCCCCCAGCAGTCAGTCCCAGGCAGGTCTGAGCTCCAGTTGAACACAGCATTGGCTGCTTGTTGATGCCCCCTGCAGGGCTCCTCTCCCTATCTCATGTCCCCACACCCTACAGGGTCTTCCTAGGGTCGCCTCCCAGAAACCCCCCACCCGGGCCTTGAACCCTCAACTCAGAGCCAGCTTCTGAAGGCCCCAGCATGCACCAAGCACTCTGCTTCGGTGCCTTGGCTGAATGAATGTTCCCAGCAGGTGCTGATATATCCCGTTCTGCAGAAGAGAAAACAGGCTCAGAGCAGCAAAGCAACTTGCCCAGGGACACACAGCAGGGAGTGGAGGCAGCAGGTTCAACTTCAGGGTATGCTGTCAATGCCCCTTCCTCACCTCCTATCTCCAGAGCTCCAGCCCCTCCTTTTACTGGTGGAGGAAAGAGTTTTCATGGCACACTAAGGTTCTACTCTCACAGTGGTACAGTAAAAAGGGTCTTTTCTTCCCCTTTAGGAGTCTGTTGTGTTAATAACACTGAGGAGCGGATGCTTGCTAAGGACCAGACACTAAACCCTTTTTGCACATGATCATGTTGGGTACACACGCCTTTGAACGGGCTGTTCTCTCTGCCTGGGATGCCCTTCCCCCAACCATACCCCATGGCCAGCTTCTCTTCCTCCTTCAGGCCTCAGCTCTAGCAATTCCTCCTCTGGGAGGCCCCCCGACCTCCGTCTGGGTTACATTACCCTGTTGAATCTTTCTGGGAATCTTGTTTGTTGATTTTGCACATTTATTGCCCATGTCCCTCAGGAACCCCTGAGCTCCATGAAAGCAGGAATTTGAATTTTTTTTTTTTTTGAAAGATGACCAGTAAGGGGATCGACTTGCTATTGTCAGCACCACCCAGTGAGTTAATCATCCATCCCTATATGGGATCCGAGCCTGTGGCCTTGGTGTTATCAGCACCACACTCCCGAGTGAGCCACGGGCCGGCCTCAGAATTTGAATGTTTTGTTCAGTGTTATGTCGTTAGTGCTTTGAACACATCCTGGCACACAGTAGGCACTCAATAAATATTTGTTACTGAATAAATGAACTAAAAATTACCAATGTGCCCTCTGTACTGGATTCCTGTGTGGCCAGAGTAGGCTGGGGGGAGGAGGAGAGACCAGCTTTCTGCCTCTGCCATGGCTGCCAGGGCCTGCAGTTCTGGGTATGGCCACACGAGGGCAGCATATACTCAGCACCAACTCCAGAGGGTCCCAGCAGGGTCCTTGCACCCCGAAGCCACCCCTGAGACCCCAAATTTCTGGTGTGGAATCTAGTCTGCCTGTCTTGACCTTGCTCATGCTCCCAGATCGGCTTCCAAATACATATTTACATATTTATGTGTTGAATTACTTCATAGCAAAGATGAGAAAAATACAGAAAAAATCACCCAGTCCTCCCACCACCTAAAAAATCGTGTTCTCATTTTGAACTCTTTCCTGTACATCTTTTTTGTGTGTGTATTTTCTTTTCTAGAGAGGCCTTCCTTGACTAACCCTTCTCAAAACTTTGAACCACCCCGTCCTACTCTGCGAATTCTCTTGACCGTTTTAACTCTTTGTCTGTAGTACTGTTATTTCCTAATGGTCTTTATAATGTGCTAATTTATGGCCCCTTGCATCTCCCCAATGGAATGTCAGCTTGCCAAGGGTGAGAGTTTTGTGGCATGTAGTAAGCACTCAGTAAGTATTCATGGAATGAACAAATCTTACCAAAAATAAATAAAACCTAACAAACAAAGCTAAATACTATAGTTTGAATGTCCCCCAAAACTCATATTGAAGCTTGATTCTATTATAACATTGTAACAGTGTTAAGAGGGTGGGAAACCTGACTATAGTATTTGAAAGGTGGAGCCTTTGGGAGGTGATTGGATGTGAGGGCTCTGCCCTCATGATGGATTAATCCATTCATGGATTATTGTGTTAATGGATTAATGGGTTATCGTGGGAGCAGACTGGTGGCTTTATTTATTTAAATTTTTTTTCTTTTTTCTTTTTTTTTTTTTCCTTTTTGTCTTTTTTCGTGTCCGGCAACGGATCGCAACCCTCATTGTTGCACCCGTACCGGACCGGGACCGGCAACGGGATCGCAACCCCCAGTGTTGTTCCCACACCTTGCTCAGCCAGTGAGCGGGAACTGGTCTGTATGTGGGATCCGAACCCTCGGCGGGAGCACCACCGCACTCCCAAGCAGCGCAGTGTAGCAGTGCGC